ATTTTAAGCTGTTGGATACTAAGCTACTGCTGCTGTAAGCGCGGTGCTTTATCTTTGTGTTTGTATATGAATTTTGTATCACACAGCTATGTTACATTGCTGCCAGCCTCCCCACGTTTGTCTTATTAAGTATATAGGGGCAGCACCTCTTCCTGTCTCATCAGAGAAATTTGCCTTTTAGCTGATACCAGCAAGGTGATTTGTATGTGTTATAGCCCTATTCAGGGTTAGGTATGTAGGGGTTTATAAAATACCCCTCCATGACTCATTAGAGAGGTTTACACTTTGTCTGATACCAGCAAAGTTTTTTGTATGTGTAGAAGCCCTATAAAGGGTTAAATGTGAAAGGGTTTATAAAATACCCCTTCATGTCTCATTAGAGATGTTTACACTTTGTCTGATACCAGCAAAGTTTATTGTATGTGTAGAAGCCCAATAAAGGGTTAAATGTGAAAGGGTTTATAAAATACCCCTTTCTGTCTTACTGGAGATTCTTGGCTGATATCAGCATATCTAATGGCTAGTGTAGGACTCACCTATTGAGGCTTGCCTTGATGTGGCAGGTGAGCTTATATATTCAAATGGCCATTGGAATAAAACTAAAGAGCCTCCATTTTGTTTAAATGTACATGGGGATTTAGGCCAGAGCGCAGGTAACGTTCTCTTTGTTTTTACATAATAATAGTAATAATAATAATAATAATATTGGGGAGGGGGTAAGAATTGGGGGTGGGAGGTTAATGCTTTTTAAAATTTAATTTATCTTCTCTGATAAATTAGTGATCCACGGTCACTAAGGGGTTAAACGTGGCCTTCTTGTCATGTCTTGTATGTGGTATTGGAGATTTTAATTACCCAGATATAAATTGGGACAGAGGGACTAGTGCCTCAGCAAAGGAAATTAGGTTTTTAAACTTGTTAAATGACTCCTTCATGTCACAACTTGTACAAGCACCAACTAGAATGGATGCTTGTCTGGACCTGGTTTTAACAAACAACGTTGATCTTTTGACCAACATTCAAGTAGGTGAGCACTTGGGAAATAGTGATCACAATATAGTGTCCTTTGAAATAAACTCAAAAAAACAAAAACACATGGGGAATATTAAAACATATAATTTTAAAAAGGCCGATTTCAATAAGTTAAGGGAAGCTTTACAATATATTGACAGGCATAAACTCTTTAGTGAAATGAACACTGAGGATAAATGGATCATCTTCCAACAAATATTAAAAAGGTACATTTCTCAGTATGTACCGTTGGGAAATAAATATAAAAGAAACAAATTAAAACCAATGTGGCTTAGTAGAGAAGTAAAACAAGAGATTACAACTAAGAAAAGGGCATTTAAAGCATTTAAATCGGACAAATCAGATGCATCTTATAAAACATATAAGGATGCAAATAATGCGTGCAAAAAGGCAATTAGACTTGCTAAACTTCAAAATGAAATAATGATAGCTGAAGAGAGCAAAACCAACGCCAAAGCATTTTTTAAGTACATAAATTCTAAAAATAAAAAAAACAAGATGAAAGTGTAGGTACACTAAAAACTGAAACGGGGGTGTTAGTTAATGAAGACCAGGAAAAGGCAGGAATTTAAAATAACTATTTCTCCTCCGTATATATTAAGAAAGAACCCATGGCAATAGATGTGCAAATGATTGCTACTAAAAACTTGCAGAATAATTGTAATTGGTTAACTCAAGACAAGGTGCTGCAGCAACTAAAGAAAGTTAATATAAACAAAGCTCCAGGGACGGTATCCATCCACGTGTACTTAAGGAACTAAGTGCAGAAATAATTGAACCTCTGTTTTTAATCTTTCAAGATTCTTTTCTTTCAGGAACTGTTCCGAGGATTGGAGGAAGGCAGATGTGGTTCCTATATTCAAAAAGGGTTCAAAATCCTTGCCTGGAAATTATAGACCCGTGAGCTTAACTTCTGTGGCTGGTAAAATATTTGAAAGGTTATTAAGGGATAATATTCAAGAATTCCTTGAGAAGAACATGGTTATCAGCAAAAATCAGCATGGTTTTATGAAGCACAGGTCATGTCAAACTAACTTGATTGCGTTCTACGAAGAAGTAAGTAGAAGTATAGATCAGGGTGTTGCCGTGGATGTGATCTATTTGGGTTTTGCTAAGGCATTTGATAAAGTTCCACACAATAGATTAGTGTTCAAACTCAAGGAAATCGGTCTAGATGAAAATGCTTGTTCTTGGGTAGAACATTGGCTTAAAAACAGAGTACAAAGAGTTGTCATTAATGATACATTTTCAAGCTGGACAGAGGTGGCAAGTGGTGTCCCTCAGGGGTCTGTTCTGGGACCCCTTCTATTTAACATGTTTATAAATGATCTTGAAGACCGCATTGAAAGTCATGTTTCAGTGTTTGCAGATGATACCAAACTTTGTAAAACAATACAATGTGAGCAAGATATTACTTTGCTGCAGAGTGATTTAGATAGACTGGTGGACTGGGCACTCAAATGGCAGATGAAATTTAATGTTGAAAAATGCAAAGTTATGCACTTCGGCGTAAAGAATACACAAGCAACGTATACCCTTAATGGAAGCGAATTAGGGATAACAACACATGAAAGGACTTGGGAATTGTTATAGACAACAAACTATGCAACAATGTGCAATGTCAATCAGCAGTGGCCAAGGCCAGTAAGGTATTGTCATGCATGAAAAAGGGCATTCATTCTTGGGACGAGAATATCATTTTGCCTCTTTATAAATCATTGGTAAGACCCCATATTGAATATGCTGTGCAATTTTGGGCACCTGTTCTAAAGAAGGATATTATGGCACTAGAAAAAGTGCAGAGGCGGGCTACAAAACTAATAAAAGGAATGGAACATATCGGCTATGAAGAAAGGTTAACATATTTAAACCTATTTAGTTTAGAAAAACGTCGCCTGAGATGGGATATGATAACATTATACAAATATATTCGGGGCCAATACAAACCATTGTGTGGAAATCTATTCACAAACCGGACTTTACATAGGACACGAGGCCATGCGTTTAGACTGGAAGAAAGAAGATTTCGCCTAAGGCAAAGGAAAGGTTTTTTACTGTAAGAACAATCAGGATGTGGAATTCTCTGCCTGAGGAAGTGGTTTTATCAGAGTCCATACAGATGTTCAAATGGCTACTAGATGCATACTTGCAAGAACAGAATATTCAAGGATATAATCTTTCAATGTAGGGTAATAACTGTTTGATCCAAGGATAAATCTGACTGCCATTCTGGGGTCAAGAAGGAATTTTTTTCCTAGCTTGTTGCAAAATTGTGCTTCAAACTGGGTTTTTTTGCCTTCTTTTGGATCAACAGCAAAAAACTAATGTGAGGTAGGCTGAACTTGATGGACGCAAGTCTCTTTTCAGCTATGTAACTATGTAACTAACTATGTAACTATGTATATTTTGTGACGTACTCATGTCTTTTTATATCTTTAACAAAACATTAATTAATTAAATTACTTCATGTCAAGGGATCCATCAAATTCCTTCCTCTTCTCAACTATACCTAGATCTTATTCACTATACCGATTCGTCATTTTTCATCCCTCGCTGTACACGTTACGATACTCTTATCTACATTTAAATGTAAAGATTTGTTCATATTTAATGATGAATATATACTTGTTGTTTTTGTATCATGTGAAATTTTTTTATAAAAAGTAAGCATGTAAAAAAAAGTTTTAGTTTTAACAGCAGCACCACTGCTGAGAAAAAGGCATGTTCCTGGTGTTCCCCCAACTCCCCTTTTTCCACTACTGTTAATGCATATCTCGACCAGGGTTGTATAAAGCTGCAAATGCAAGAGAAGCAGAACGATGCATATTATAGTCTTTGGGGACCATATTTTGGTCCTTAAGGGGTTGTTAATGTGGCCCATAAATGACTAATAACAGGGCTTCATTACACATGATATTTTATTTCCAGTAATAAAAAAAAATGATGACAGTTTTCCTTTAAAAAGAACCCTAGGGTATAGGTTAACTGTCTATAGCCAAGGAGGTATTCATCTTTGTAGCCCTTGTAAAAGCTCCTAAATCATAACATTCAATTCTGACATTTTATCTGCCTTATAACTACCCCATCTGAGTAAAAAAATCAAACAAACAGAAAAATCTAATATACTATCCTGGAGTTGCATTGACACAAAAGATCAAAATCCTCACGTAACATGAAACTTTACTATTAATCTATATAGGTATTAGTATAAAAGAAGAAATATGTAAAATGATACAAACAGAAAAAACACCAAACAATGAATCAAACAGCAAACGGATATGATCAGAATAGTATAAATGTCATGCATAATATATAATGAGAGGAACTCCCCCCTGGATTTATCTCATATAACAAATGTAATTTACTTTTTTTTTTTTTTTTAAATATGTTTGTGATGAGACAGAATTTGCTAGCCTGACTTTATTTTCTATTTTCCTTTTTTAACGGTAACATGACATACATTGATAAACAAGACCTCTTTTTGCTTGCCACTTTAATTACACTACCGAGTGCTATATTACCATATATTTTATATTACTATATGCAATGTATTATTATATTCACTTGTTCTTTGACTTGTAGCTATCAGACGGTCTCTCCAAACCACACAGTGAAACCCAGCACGGAGTATTATAAAAAGGCACAGTTTTACAAAGACAGGCAAAACCAAAATTACTTTGTTTTATCATCAGACATTCTTAAATAACTATTTGTATATATTTACAGGTTTGCATACCAAATTATTTTTTATTTTATTTTTAAATTTATGTTCATTTGCCACACATAAAAATATACCAACATTTGCGTAGAATCGGTTACTGAATACATATAAATAACACAGACCTTCATATATATGGCATCAGTCATTACTAAACCTGGGTTACACATTGTAGTTATTGATGGGTAGTAGTGATGTCCCAAACGGTTCGCGAACGGTTCGCCACGAACGGTTCGCCGAACGGTTCGCCACGGACTCATCATTCCAGCCAATCAGCAGCAGACCCTCCCTCCCAGGCCCTCCCATCTCCTGGACAGCATCCATTTTGAAGCTACATTCTTTAGTGAGCTGTCCAGGAGTTGGGAGGGTCTGGGAAGGTCTGCTGCTGATTGGCTGGAATGATGAGTCCGTGGCGAACCGTTCGTGGTGAACCGTTCGCGAACCATTCGGGACATCACTAATGGGTAGTCATAACGGAAATGTTACAATCACATATACTTAAACATATCCACACTAAATTATCAAGTATGGTGAAAGACATCACATTGTTGGTAAGAGCATGATACCAATACAAAAGGTTCTCAAGAAAGACAATATCAGCGTAGCATAAACTAAATTAAGTTTAAACATAAGAAAGGTAACGAAATGAGAAAAAGCTGATTTGGTAACAAAGCAGAGTAACTAGAAACAAACGCAGTGGTCATTTTGACAGGCCTGCAAACTCCTGTTGAGTATCGGGAGTGTAGGACTGTGGAGTAATATAATGAAAAATAAAAAATGATGGAAAAGAAAAAGGAAAACAGAAAAAAAATAAAAAAAATTAGAGGGATAGAGTTCATGGGTGACTACGCTGTACCATCCTCAAACAGAAGGTATCACCCTTTGACTCTGTCATGGTCTCTAGCTGTATTTAATTAATCATAGTTTACTAACCAGCATCTATAGACCAGTACATCAGCCATGTCTCCCAAATCTTAACATTTTTGTTCTTTAGCCCCCTCGCTGACCTGCATACTGAATTCTTAATTGACATGTTATCAAGATGTTAGAAGGTGGTGTTTTACATGTTTGCAATTGGTGCCTGGTTTAGAACAAAATTCCCATGATGCAACTTGCACATGACACTTATTTTACACCAAAAAAATCATGATAACATTTGCTCTGTGCATAAAAGAATTAAATAGGCAAAAAGGTGTTCAGCATACACGACTAATGTACTTGTAAAATTGCTGTGTTTTCTAATGTTTTCTAATGTTTAATTATTATTAACATAGTATATTCCACAGCACTTACATTTATAGAGTGGGATATAAAATAGCTAGTAGTAGTAATAGTAATTAAAAGACAAAATGCTAACAGATGAAAGAGAAGAAAAGGGTTCTGATCACTGAGTGTACAAGCTAATTCCTCTTACTCCTCCACTTTAATACTTGTGCAATTAATACATCAATTATCTCATTTTTCTCTAGTTGATTGTATTCATGCACTACCTCATATTTTATGAACTAATCCAATCATCCCACCACATTTATTACACTGTTTAAGTGACCATTCACCATTTGATATAGAACTGAGCAAAGTTGTAAATGACAAATATTTGGGAGGTGCAGACAAGTAAGCAGACACAAAGACTCTGAGCTCCTGAGCAATTAATCACTCCAAAGCAACTGTGCTTATTTTTAAACTAGACTTGAGCATTCACCTTTTTTCTGAACTTGCTTTTTAGAGCTTAGTGGTAGTTGTGATGTGGGTAAAGCAGCCAATCTCCTATCCTCTAGGTACTAGTAGTAACAGACTGGTCTCATTCTGCCTTTTTTTGGACCAGTGAGGGTTATCCCAGGCTACCTTAGCCTTGTCTCTCTGTTTTTGGCTTACTAAGTTTGCAAGTAAGCATAAGGCCTTCAGAGCCTCATCACTTCCGCTTAGAAGTCTTCGATTTTCAGATGGAACTGCAGGTGAGGAGGAAAGCAGATGCAAGTGTATATTCAAGACAGGTCGTAGTATATCCCCCCTCTTATTACACAGTGGTTCAGATGGGTTTCACGACGGCCATCATTTTACAAGTGGTGAGTAAAATGGAGTAGCATCCCACAATATAAACTATCAATTCCAAAAAGACCATAGGATAAGATAGATACATTTCTGCAGGCAAGACTTTTGTAGACATCTACTACTCACAGTTTTGCCACAGTGTTCACTTGGGTCTAATTCTTGTGTCTGGAATGTACGAAGTAGACAGAGTATTGTCAAGACTTGTCTCTCAATGTGAAGACAGGGTGGTGGTCACTACTTAATCCACAATCCATGACTATCTGAGATGGGATGCCACTTGATTTGTCTTACCTGCCCCAAACTCAGGCTCCCAAACTGGCCATTGGTTAAGTGAAGTGGACTGCTCAATGAGCCTGTATCTGCCATCTGTATTGGGTCAAGTTGTTGTTTTTTTCGTTTGTTTGTTTGTTTTTTGCAGTCAGATTGCAATGTTTATATTTGTTTTGTTTCTTTTGTTGGAACTTCTCTTTTTATTACTAAATGCATTAGCTGGGTTTTTATAGTGTTTCTATTGAGCCAATCAATTTTATTGTAATGCGCTGTTTATATTAGTCATTCCATTTTCATGCTGTTAATTTTGTATACTTATATAAAACTGACATATAATACATGCTGCTGCTGAGAGCTTACTGATCTTATGGCTTTTTATGCACAAGGATGTCTTCTGCATGACCTCTGTGTATGACTCAATAAAAAATGGACAAAAAAAACTAAATATTTGAAATTGCTTCTGGATGTTGACATGTTACATTCATTTCTAACTGTATTAACTTATCTGTGTAAAATATCTGTGTATTTTTTAAATCAATTTTGTGTTCATGCATTTTATTAAAATTATATATACATAAAACACAGGGGAACGTGACTGTTCATGTTTTTTAAGTTGCTAACTCTTTGTGTAGGTATTTTGATACAACTATAGCTCAAAGTCTTATCTAGAGAAAGAAAGACAAATGGAGAAAGAGGTACAGATCATTACTGCTAATGAGTGATTATTACATTACTTAGAGCTGCCCACTCAAAAAAGAGCTCTCTAAGAATAAATTAAGTATTAAAATAAGTATTTTTAGTAAAAAAAAAAAAAGATAGTTATAATGTTATATAGATAATCATTGATGCCTCAGTCCAATTAGGTCTATTTGAAAATGTATATATTTGTAATCCAGGTGCAATTGTTCTCATCTTTAGTTGTGCTCTGTATATTCAAAGGCTATGAAAAGTGCCTATTTACCCAAAAAAATTGAAATGAGTTTTTTTCCATACAGCATGCAGGTCTGACAGGCAGACAAACATGTCCAATTTTATCCGGCAGCTGGACAAATAGAGGAAGGCTCTTTGACTAAGCCTACTTTTGAAAGTAAAAGAACCTTTGATGTTTCTACAGCAAATAAATATACAAAAGCTTATTAATTGGCTATTTCCAGGTTTCTGTCCTCACTGGTAATTTCTCTTTCTCTCGATGTTTTATTTGATGAGCAACGAATAAAAAACAAACCTGTAACACGTAGGGATATATATCCAAATTGATGGTAGTGCTGATTTTTCTTTCTATTTAATTTCTATTTTTTTTTCTTTTTTTTACTTTCAGTTTTCAATTCACTGCAACCCACTCTTAGGTGACTATTGACCCTATTTTTTGGTCAATGGTAATGATATTTTATTTGTAGATCATTTAAACAATACATCTATGCTTAGTATCATTGTTCGTAGGTCACAGTTTGGAATTGGGGAAAAAAAATAGCAAACTCATGTGTATCATTACATAAAAAAAGCAGATTTCTTCATATTTCATGCTCGGAATAGGACATCGAAAAACAATTTCTGTTTTTTTCTTTTTTTCTCATATGTAACCGTGGCTCAAAATTTACACTCTTCAACTTTTAATTTTTGAGTTAACATTGAGCCCCGCTGGGTTGGCCAAGTGGGTTTGATTTATAGTGCCTAAAGCAGATTTCATCTAAAGTATGATGGACAGGAAATTAAGTTTGCAGCAGCTTATTGGAGACTCCATTAGCAGGCCTACTACCAGCATGAATCAGTGCAGCCACATGGAGTGTGTTCCATATTGATCCAAGCTTGTAATATTTATATGTGATGCTGTGCATGCTGGCATCAGACAACAAATTTGCATAGAATTTACATTAGCCAACCAGATTTCTTGTTCTGGGCTGGATGACATCTCTTAACTTCTATAGTTGTTTAGCGGATAACTCCCCTATTTGCTATCCTTATGTGAAATTGCCATATTTAAGGACAGCAAATAAAGGAGCTATCTACTAACCACATACACATTTACATACACACGCAGACGTATGTAAATACACACGCAATCACAGACATACACCCACATTACCACAGACACACATAATCACAGACACACACAATCACAACAAATACACACTGAACCACACACATAATTACAGACATACACAAACACAATCACATACACACATAATTACTGACATACACACAAAAATCACATTCATACACACACATTTAGTAAGTAAGAGGTCCACCCAACATCCCTACCTTGCTCTGGGAGGGCTGAAGTGGATCCTCCCCCTGGTGACTAGCGGTTTCTGCTCGGCTGGGATCTCTGTGCTCTACCTGCACAGCTCACTCACACTCCCAGCATTATTGCCGATGCCAGGATAACGCCATATCCCGGCTAACGGCACGCACAAACTCCTATGTAGTCCATAAAGAATGTTTAATCTCACTGCCTCACACTATATATCTGTCCTTGTCCTGTCTTTGCTGCTAACAGAGAGGTATTGACTTTACACAAATACACAAACTGACATTATTTTGAATTAAAAAAAAAACTAAACTAAAAAGACCTGGCTAGTAACTTAAAAGGGCAACTTAAAAATGACTGCCTTTTAGAAGAAACCTCACGATTTGCCTGGATATTTATTTTCTTCCAGTAACTTAAAATGTGACATTTTGAGACCTAATACCAATCTAAACTTTGGGGCAAAATATTTATAAACATTTAGAAGCAAGTGTGCTATTTAACCCCTTAAGGACACAGCTTCAGAAGCTTGTCTTACGCTTAATGACACAAGCAATTTTTGCATTTTCTTGCTGTATGCGTTCAACTGCAATTTGCATCTCTCTCGTTTATTGCACCGAAACATATTATATACTGTTTTTTAAAGGACAGAAAGGGCTTTAATTTGATGTAAAATATATATATATATATATATATATATATACTTATTTATTATTAAAAAAATACAGAAAAAGGCAAAAAAAATAAAAAAAAATTGTGTTTTTGTACAGTTTTTGCAATAATAATGTGTGCCTAATTAGTGCATGTTAAAGAAAGTAATTAAAAATAAATTAATTTAGTTGT